AGAGGATGGACTCGTCGGGCTGGATGACCTCAAAGCCTTCAGCGTCGGACATCGTGGCAACTACTGGAACTGGGTGGCAGAAAGATCTCGATTCGCGGCGCTGCAACGGTCGTGTTCGGGACTGGTCTGATCGATGAGCAACTGGAAAAGAGCATCAACATTAGCTCTTATAAATTGGCCTAACCTGACTCCCTGCGAATAGGAACGGGGGCACTAATAAAGCGGTCTAAGGGGTGGGTATTAATCAATGAAACATTAAGGTATCGACGGGGTACGTGTGCTGAGTATGTATATCACGACCAGCTATTAAAATGCATGCAGCTGCGACAGACACGTCACAGAGGGGCGTTCTTCTCGCGACAACACGATAATTGGTCGCCAACTTGTCACTGACCTGTCAGAGCTTCTCTTGCTCCCCAAAAGCCCCCGGCTGACGGGAGCTGCTGTCGCGTTGCCGAAAACCGACGGGGCTTTACAAGATATGGTTCCGATATAGAAAGCTGAACAGCAGTAGACAGCAAAAAAAGATAAAACAGAGACAAGCTCAAGCCCAGAATTGGAGACGCCTGAAACGCGACACAAAGCCGCTATATGTCGTGTCTTATGTACTTCTTTAGTAGGAGGTGTGCTTAGGTTTGGAAGCTGGTCTAGGTATGTCATGTATCTGGGCCGCCGACATTCTAGTAAACGGTGGGAAAAGAGAAGAAAGGGATATCTGCTTTGCAAAATGAAGAGAAAGAGTATTATTACAATTTGCCAACTAGATAGATTACCTATCTTGTCTTGTAGGTATGATCTCTGTCTAACAACTCCTTAATATTAGGTAGGTACCTGCTTGTACATACTGACGAGGTGGAAATCAAAAGACCAGAAGAGCAATCAGAACGTGCGGTCCAAACATGTCCCAAGCTAACCATTGCTGGGTAGCTCATGCCAGCAATTAACCATTACAATTTACAGGTCAATTTCCAGGGTCTCGAGTGGGGTCAGGGTAGCGATAGCGTGGGCTTCGGATCCACCTTGTACCTCCATTCCGCTCTTGTGATCGCATCGTATGGAAACTCTCTTTGATTAGCAAATACAAAATGACCACGACATGTCCGAAGCCATAATTCAGTGTGTGTCCAATAGAAGCTCTGCAAAGTCGAGGTTGCCAAGACTTCAACTGCAATGGACCAATTGGCAAAGGCATGCGTTAGCATCTGAGCGGTTGTGGAGCTGCATCTGCTGGATCACACGCTCAGGAGCTAACCTTGTATGAAACTTAGTGTTGCCACAGTTGGTAAGTACTGTTTCAACAAAGCAACCTCGGTGCTACTGTCACGGTGTCACCTGTGTATTGACAGTTTCCCAAACCTCCATCTTTATCTCACTTCGTGAATGTCATTATAGCGGACGATGCTGTTAGACGATGAGATGGCTTCTACGTAGAGTTTCAAGGACTGGAGTCCGACCTCTGCAGCCATTACTTAAATTCAGACAGCTGAGTACCTTTGTACCAAGTTTTCACAATGCCGAACGGGTCAATGTGCCTGTCGGGTCATCTGGCAGCGTGACTATCGAGTAAGCAGCAATCGGTCTCGTGTGCTCTCTATCTTGCAGGGTGCCTAACTCATGAGTAGCCTTTATAATCTGGGCAAGGTCTCATCATCTGAGCCTCTGTTGATCTATCTGCCTCCATTCTCTACGTCCGCAGAGGCGCACTCAAGCGACCTCTCAGAACTGCCGAGATTCACTTACAACCTGGCAACCGCCGTCATCAACTATCGTTGGACGGAGGAGTCGAGCGGGGACCAGCGCTTGGATGATGGCGCGTCAGAGTCCGACGACGAGCTGCCTCTCCGACGCTTTCATCCAGGCTGGCCAGCGCCCTTGCACGATACCATGAAGGCTTACACGTGGATAACCGACAACTTGAAACCGCCCACCTATGCACGGCGGGACATATACGTGTGCGGCTCGTATCTGGGCGCCTCGTTGGCGACATCGCTGGCCTTGACTGAAAGCCACCCCCACGAACGCATGGCAGTTCGGGGATGTGTTGCTTACAATGGCATTTACAACTGGACCACGTTCTTACCAGATCATCCCATCAATAAGTTGGATGCATCCGCAACACGCAACTTCCTTGACGAGATTCTCTCCATGCCAGAAGATCCCAACTTTCAGGAGCTGAGACAAATGATCAGTGAGCTATTCAATCAGCCACAGGACTTGTTCGACCCCTTCGTCAGCCCCTGCCTCTTCTTCCACACACCTAATCTCCTCATACCTCCATCCTTCGACTCATCGGCTCTTTCCTCTGAATCTTCCTTGGAAGACCTCGACTTCGGCTGGGCAGCTGGAGAAGGGACGGAGCCAGTTGTGCCTCTTCGCCAACCGCGAAAGAGTCCTCTCGTGTTTCCTCCACGCAAATCCACATTAAAGATCCCAGAAATGCTACTTCTGCATGATGGCGCACCACCCTCGCGTCCCTCGTGGATGAGAAGAGGCCAGAGACGGAAGAAGGAAAGACCAGGGAACAACTTCTGGAGCCAGGCTGTGGAACTAGCGAGCCTCATGAGGAGGAGCATCAATATGGTCGAACTCAAGGAGCGCATGAAGTGGGATGAAGACATGGACTATTCAAGCGACGAGGCATGCAGGCGTGTACAGGTAGAGGACGTCGGTCGTACTGGGAGACCTGACCAGAGCGAATATGCTACTGCGAACTGGTTGGAGGAGCAGATATCGAATCGGGCATGATTGAAAGCGTCACATCTTCATTTGATATGTCGTATTGTATGGCAAGAAACTTGTATAGTACTTCGAAATACGTTGAATCGTGTAAAAATAGAGCCTTCTCTTGTTTATGCAAAGGGCTTTGTGTGTTCGTGTTCACTCTCAAGAGTCGACGGCAATGAATGCGGAATATTGAGATATCCCGTATAATTACACAGTGTGTAGGCTTACGTAACACGCCAGACTTGAGATCGAAGGTAACTGCGCCACAGAATGCGACGGCCAGAAGGCCTGGGTGGTCTGGGCACAGAGACTTTTTCCATCCAGTTTGAAAGCACAGCCCCACATTGGCCACCTCGCCTGGTTATCCAGGTGTGGACAGGTGCCTCAGCCCCCGCTACAACACACATCTCGGCCGTCACGAAAAATCCAAAAACACTTCCACCCAACTGCAGTACCTAGTATCACCCATTTCCCACGACCTCAACCTCCCTCGCTACCAGTCAAACTCAGCGAAAATGGCCGACTCTGTTACCCTGCGTACTCGCAAGTTCCAGCGGAATCCCCTGCTTGCTCGCGTTCGTGCACCCTCTGTCGTCCTGCTCGTAATTTCTTAGTGGATATGCTAACAGTATTATTGCCTTGTAGAAGCAGATGGTCGCGTAAGTCAAATATCCTCCCCCATCTGATATCCCACATCGAAGACGGACGAGAAGACATCGATCGATATTCCCGAGCGAAAGCGACGATGAGCATCGAATCAGTCAACCCGATCAATCCGACCGCCCGTCAATGATGGATAAAATCCTGCATTCCAATGTGCAAGTTCCTGACTGTTATCTCGTTTTATAGCGACATCATCCACCCCGATCAGCCCGGTATCTCCAAGGCCAGCCTCCAGGAGAAGCTCGCTACCCTCTACAAGTCCACCCCCGAGCAGGTCAGCGTTTTCGGCCTGCGCACCGCCTTCGGTGGTGGCAAGACCACCGCCTTCGCCTGCATTTACGACTCGGTTGAGGCCCGCAAGAAGTTCGATGCCAAGCACCGCCTGGTGCGCAACGGCCTAGCCACCAAGGCCGAGCGTGCTTCACGACAGCAGAGTATGTGGCCTTTATTTCCATATGCACCGTCGAAATGCTCCGTATCCGTTTTGTATCTTGTTTTTGTCAGTACGGTACAGGTGTCTAACCATTACTCTTTTTCGCAAAACAGGAAAGCAGCGCAAGAACCGCATGAAGACGCTCCGCGGTACCGAGAAGACAAAGGGCAAGAAGGCGAAGAAGGACTCATAAGGGTTTTCATCATAATCATGGGTCATGAAACGGTCAGGGATTGGGAAAACGAGACTAGCTACTACATAGCCAAGTAGTGTTTCGTGTGACGAAGGCAATGCTATAGACGCATATCACATTGATACCCCGGTACCAGCCAGTCGACCCTTTTCTCCCCGCCATCTTGCTACCACGATACGAAGAAAAAAGAATTTATGTGACGAAGAAAAAAAACTCAAAACCCGACCTCTCCACGAGTTCCCTTCGTATATTTTCGGCTGCGTGTATTTCCGGGATCAATGTCTTCTTAATGATAGAAGGGGCGTTATTTGGATCAGCTATGTCGATTCAGCATTTGCCATAGTTACATAGATAGGAAGGCGGCCTATCGACAAAATCCTGAAACCCATGGCTTCCACGCTTGCTTTCGTACTCTGATTCGGTGCTCAGTGCGTACGGGACTTGAAGGCGCAAGTTCTTTAGCGGCAGACTTGAGGGGAGGCTCAGCTGCAACTGGCTCCAACGAGTGTGATGTCTTTTCGAATTCGACATCGAAAGTGTTGCGCATGATCGTATGTGGGATCGAGATGGCATGATTCTGCAACGGATTGTCACGACGAAGAGATACATGCTGAAATGTCATGTTTCCTGTTTCGACAGATTTCTGGGAACGTTGATGGTACAGATCATCACATAGTACCTAGACTACTCTACTACATACTAGGTAGTACCGCGACAGATGGCATTAATCACCAACTGAACACAAAGGGAGATCATACCATAAGCAACAAGGGGACTCTGGAAACGATTTTAAAAATCTACTTTCTCCTAACAATATCACTAACCAAACCACTTGATGCTAAATAAATATAGAGAAGGATCAGCGTAATAACAAAATAAAAGAGAGTTAAAGTTGAAAGATAATGCAATCCATGACTGTATGTAGTAGAGCAAGACTGCGAAAGATAATGCCGAAGAGAGAAGAGTTGAGAAAAAAAGGAATGAAGCGGGCTCAACCGGGATTTGAACCCGGGGCCTCCTGCAAATCCTCGCGGACCCAAAGCAGGAATCATACCACTAGACCATTGAGCCGTGTTATTTATTGGAGGTTTACCAGCGCACACAGTCCTGATAACCATGTTGCAGCAGGGGTCGGAATTCATTAGGGAGAATGGAAAACTGGAATGGTTCTTGAAGGGATTTTTTTAAAGTGGTTTGAGTTGACTTGAGTGGCTTGGACTTATTGATTGTATAGGTATTTGATTATGGGGTGTTGGAATGGTGGTTTTGGTGGTTTTGGTGCGAAGTTTGCTTTACTTTGACAAAAAGAAAAGAGTGAGAGAAACAACCGAACCATCAAGACTCCAAGTCTGTACACTGCATTTACTTCTTGCTCTTCTCTAGATGTATCATCTCAAATGACAGGATGATTCCTGATTTTTTCTTACTTTCTGTTCAAACCATTAGCCTAGTTGTTATCACATTAGGTACTCACCCTCTCACTGCCAGGTACCTACGTCGAGTAAACCTGGCGAACTGCAGTAGGTACATGTGGTGCAGGGGGGGCCGGTAAGTGACTTTGAGCTTTAGAGACGTGTGTGTTACATGCATAATAAAATAAATTAATTTTTTTTTTGGATGGATGGATGAATCCCTTCCTCCCCTCACCTCACCTCGCCTTACTTATCCTTTTCACTTGCTAGAGCAGCGGGTCCATTGTATCCCCTATCTCAGGGGCTCACTCTGCAGGCTGTTGCTAAGGTTCCCTTCTGCCCATATGCGTCGTCGTTTATACTTCCATGGTTTCTGTACATATACAGCTGTCAGCTGGGAAGAAGTATGTTACTATATATAGGAGTGTACCTTCAATCAAAACCTCCTACGACTTGAAGGTCGGCTAAGTAGGTAGGGACCTTGATACACTTGGCCTAACCCGCATGTGTGACCTCCTTATCTCGATGCGCAGACAGATAGAACGTGGAAGCTAAGAAACGGAGGGTAAAGTTACTCAGTTCGTTGTATATGCGACGTGCTAGAGGTAGGGGAATATAGTAGTTTAGCAAAGCAAGTACAGTAGGTAGGTATAATTTCCTGATATCACGAAGTGCGACTACTCCCCAGCACACACACAAACAAACCTCTCTTGTACGTTACGGACCTTGGATCTCTATCGAAATTACCCTCTACCTAATTTATATTGGCAAGTCACGCATTACATGTTCCAGGTACGTTCTCCTTCTCGGATACTTACTTATCTCACTTATTTTCCACTTCTAGGGTAGTTCAACTGATGCCAGACGGGAACCACCGCCCTTCAACCTCCGGCCTTCCTCGAAAGAAAAGCATGAATGCCTTGTTTGAGTAAGGACGTTGTTTTTAATAGTCAGACATCTAGGGAGATTGGACAGCAATGACCGCGTTATGACAGTCCACAATACTCAACAATAAACCGAGATGCAGGTTGCCGGAATATTAACATTAGCCTTAAGTCTTCGTGTATCTATCTACTCTAATAAGGAAAAGCCCGTCACAAAGAAGAAACAAACGTTCTATCTATCTTCCATGTCTTCGTACCCATGCATGCATTGTGAACCGTCTCGAGTTATTCTAACCATCAACGCCTAGATCAAATAGGTCGGTGAAGTCACGCAGCGCTCTTAGTCTCCGTCTTCTGCGCGATCATCTGGAGACATCTGCTGACGTCATTATTCAGCCCCGTCTCGAACGTATGGCGCAACGCCCTCATCTCGGCGTCTGTGGGCGGTTGTGGTTGAGCCCCCCGGTATCTGCGCCGGCGGCTCTCGGGGAGCTCTACAATGCTCGCGTTGGGGTCCTGCCCCGTCTTGTCCGCGAACTCGTACGAGCGGTACTCTGTATTCTCCCACGCTGTGCCTATGGGATGTGTTAGATTAAGCGGTTAAATGATGTACAAGAGTAAAGAAGGAACATACCTCGACCAGGCTCTATGCCCACCCAGTCCTCTGTGATAAAGTGCAAGATACCGCCGTGCGTGACGAGCACCAAGTGCGCATCCTCGCCGGCGTCCTTCAGCAGCTGGTCGCGCAGCCACAGCCTCGCCCGCCGCGTCCGGGCCTCGAGCTTCTTGGGGTCGGGGTAGTAGTCCGACTCGGGCGTCTTGACGTTCCAGTCTTCAGACACGAGACTGAAGTCGACGTCTTCGCCGAACTCCTTCTTCAGCTCCGACAGGTCAGTACCCACGTCGCAGGGGTACAGCGAGACCTCCTGCGCGTCCTGCAGCGCGATGATCTTCTTCTTTCCACCCTTCAGTGCCGGCTCGAAGGAGAGCTTGCACGTGTACAGCGTGCGGCGCATTGGCGAGGCTACCAAGTGGGTGATCTTGTCGTGGTAAGGAAACTTGCTGCAGAGGTCGGCGCATTGTTCCTTTCCGAGATCCGTCAGGTCCGGGTCCTTGAACCATTGGTTCTCCGTGCGCACGTTATGGACGCCCTGGGCATGGCGGACAAGGTGGATGACCGGGGCCATAGTCGACGATCCTTCCCTCTTGATGTGATTTGGGATAATAAGTGGGCGATGGCTTGGCTCAATCAACGACCGAGAAGTCTAAAATCGAAAGATCGATGGCAAAGCAAGTTCTGTGAAACAGCTTAAAACAACGAGTGCAAAGATCGCTCAAACCTTAGTGTAACACCGCAAAGAAATTCGAAAGAAGGTGTTGGAAATATTACGGTGGCTTTCCAAGTGATTTTTATGTACGAAGGGAGCAGACCGATGACGGCTTTCCGTTTGGTTTGGTTCGGGGCCCAAGCTGTGGAGACTGCCTAGACAGGAAGCAAGTTAGTCTAAGTCTAGGTTAGTCAGGCACGTCAGACAGGCTCCTTTCAACTTTCAAGTCGTCCGTACCTCTGCCAAGTACCGTGATGATGTCGTGTGGGTAAAAGTGGATGCTCTGCAGGACCCGCAGCAGCAAACAACCTCACGACATCAAACGTACTTGTACAGACGATCTCTCACATTCGATTCCACGTCGATATTTCTCAGACACACCACCGGACGGTGACCTCCGCCTGTATTGGTATAATGTTCGACCCCTTTCAGAAAACGGGCACATTGGTATGACTGTTCTACACGATGCGACTGCGGTAAGGGGTCTGTCCCGGAGACTTGGGTTTGCTCTCAGGGATTGTCGGCAAGTCTGATCGAGTCAGCCGGAGGACAGGACTAAGCTGGATCTAGCTCTCACATAAGACGAACCAAGTGAAAAGGCACGACTCAGATGTCCAATATCTCATCGGTCGACACGTGGTCAGGGTGGCAAGCGATGCGTATATTATAGGGTTTTCGCGATTACATAACGGCAAGGTAGGTAGATTTCGCAATTGTCGCAAGACCTCTAAAGTATCGGGAGTCAAGGGGCTTTCAAAATAGACTTGAACGTTGGTAACCCGGCTGTGAAAGCGATATGGAACCTAAACAGCTGCTATTGCGAAGACTCGAAGAACAATATATTCATGATGTCTCTGCATAGGTTAGCATTGAAATACAGTCTCCCTGGTTGGTGAGCAATAATAGATACCACAGACGAACAAAATAGCGGTCCAAGGGGCTACAGTGTTGTTTGCAGGAACCAAGAACTAATCAAGCTGGCGGACGTTCCGATAAAATTGTCTAGAAGCTTTGCGTGGTCATCGCCTCACGGGAGAAGCCAAAGTCGATAAAAACGGGCATTCTCGCGTCCGAAAAGGAAAGAAAAGGATACTGGAGACTGTATTCCAAAGGGTCTGGCGGCAGGAGGGGATGATAAAAATAACATTCGAGGCGGGAGTGACACCAAGATGGCCGTACCAGGGGGTCTTGTCAGTGAAAAATGGCGTTTACCCATCACGGGGCAGATAAGGCAAGAATGGGGTTCGCAGATCCGAACCAGGGGAAATGAACCGCTGTTCCTCGAGTGACCATCTTAGGGGCTGCGTTTCCTTGCGTTTCCTTGGCTTCCCAGCTCTGTAACTCTTTGTAGTTCCTCGTGTCGGTTTCCGGCATCAGGTTTGACGGTGCGCGCATTTCCTTACCTGTGTCTCTTGCTGTAGAAATGTCGAATTCGAGATGCAGGTATGGTACGACAGGGACGGTGGTACCTCGGAGATAGCTGCCAGCCCTGTCCGTCTCGAGCTGTCTCGGCAGTGGTGGTCTGGACTTGGAAGAGGGGCCTGGGCGTTCATGCACGCAACCTATGTAGGTAGGGCAACCTAGATAGGTACTTGTACGTTATAGCGCATCTGTGAACCGCTAATAAACCCCATAGCAACAAGTAACCCCCATGGCAACAGGAGAGACTGGCTCATGTTCAACTGAGGTATCGCGCTAGCGTGCATCCAACCCGACCTGCACTATTTCCCCAGGCCCACACTTTGGTTCCTGTCTGTTGTTTCCATACTCAACAGAATCACAAGACTCCAAACCTTGCAAAAAGCTCTCCCTTTTCGTGAACACCATAAACACCCAACATCCTTCTTCAAATTCTGAAAAATAAACATCAACATGGGTAAGATGCGTTGCGAGCCCCAGTTCCTCGCACCGGGTCGAGAAGCACTTGGCCAACATTCCCCAGCCCTTCCGACGTGGCAGCAATGGTGGCTGCATATTGCTTCGGTCGTACCAGATGCTGTCGCTGATGCAGACATGACCGTATTCTTCTTCCCTCTCCTTCGTGCCTTGTTCTCCGCGGTGGTGACGGCGATGGTCGACCGATTCCCCCCACCAGCCTGCCCCCTATACCACACATGCTTACTAACATGAACACATTGTAACAGCATTCCGCATTGTTGACAAGATCAAGGCCCGAATCAAGAAGATCAAGGGCATCTTCAAGCGTAAGGGCCGCAAGACCCAAAAGGCTCGCAAGATCAACACTGTCGGTACTCCAGGTGGTAAGTGGATCGTATAGGGCATGCAACCTCTTCGATATGAAGCCAAGGATGCCGCTGGTCGTCGACCAAGATGTATCGATCAATACTGACTTGCACTCCTAGTCATAGTCTCCCGGTTCGACGATGACCCCGTTGAGCATGAGCACCCAGCCACGGCTTCTGGCGGCACTGGTAAGTCGACGTATC